TGTATGTATGTATGTATGTATGTATGTATGTATGTATGTATGTATGTATGTATGTATGTATGTATGTATGTATGTATGTATGTATGTATGTATGTATGTATGTATGTATGTATGTATGTATGTATGTATGTATGTATGTATGTATGTATGTGTGTGTGTGTGTGTATGCATGTATGTTTGCGTTTGCGTTTGCGTTTGCGTTTGCGTTTGCGTTTGCGTAACGTTTTTCTAAATGGGGGGGAGGGGTTTCCTGTGTACATATTTGGCTTTTATCGTGTAAGCAGATTTGGCGTTCCACCGTGTTGAAAAATTTGTACATTTAACTGGTATTGTATTGCGCTTGTGCTCTGCAGGTGAGTGCCAGTACATCCGAAGACGGCAAATCCATTCAGGAGCTTCGCAAATGGAACGACCAATTCGGAGATGGGGACAAGGGCAAAAACTGGCAGAAGCTCACCTACTTCATATAGGTCACTACGAGATTCTAAGCAACTGCAAGCAGACGAGTACTCTGCGGTACCATTTAAACACGAGGGCCACCTTAATAGCATTGTTTGCGCGAGATTATACGCGCACGTGTTTATATATCAATCAGCCAGGGATCATATGGTGTAGTGTGTACCAACGGCCGCTCTGTACATATGTGCGTATACACAGCTCTCAAACGAATTGGTCCTTGACGGCACCATTCATCTCGACTAGGGAGTCAACCAGGGCGCAAGTGAAGTGACATGGTTCTCTTGCACCAGGACACGGCACGTCTTGAAGCGACCGTCGAGTGGGTACGAATTGAATTATGACAATGCTCGATACGGCGCAAAGAGTTCTATAAATAAATTGTTGATACATAGATACATTTAGCTGATGGTTACTGCGATTTGGACCTTGCGAGTATTTGATGTGGAATACCGTGCACAACATTTATGTTGTTCTTGAACAGACGAGTTTGGATTCTAGTGCTATGGTAGAGTGACGACATTTTTTGAATGAACGCTGGATAGTTTTACATGTAATCTTATAGTCATTTGGAGTATATATATGTATGCATTTGGATATATATATATATATATACATATGTATATATATATATATATATATATATATATATATATATTATATATACTATATATATATATA